TTTTGGCTTTCATTTTTTCGCTTATTTGCACTCCCCGCGTGGGGGGGGGGGGGGTCAGGGAGCGAGATACGTGTGGGACCGCCCGCTGTCGGCGTTGGGAGTGGCCTGAAAGTCCTACCGGTGCACGCAAGAGAGAATCACCGTTGTCCGAAATACTTCGTCCCTTGGCTGCGTTGTAAATGGACGCCTTGCACTGCATATCACCAAGTGTTGCTGCGTGGGGGAAAGCGTGTCGGGAATCGGTTTCCGGTGTCACGAGACCCTCGGATTCGGCTCGACCTTTTTTGGACAAAAAGGAACATTAGGACTACGTAATCCACCAAGGTACCAAAAAATAATGGGAGACGCACACACAAGAGAGACGTACACAAAGAGCATCCCGGTAGTCTGACCTAAGTGTCGCCATGGGGGGGGAGGACGCTATAGCTCTCTCTAACCGCCCAAAACATTTTTGTTCGCCCGACTGGCCACCAATCGCCACAAATCGGAGCCTCCGCTACACGCGCTACGTTCGCTCGTTCCTCCTATCAGGCAACCAACCCTCCTCCTGTCGGCTATGTTACCGCCGACGATGCACGTCGTACCTATGGGTGGCACCGTCACCATGGCGATCGCCGCCCCCGCGAACATGCCCGACATCGCGAAGGCGAAGTGCCGCCCCCGGCGGCGGGCGGGGATCCAGTGCCCGAGAACCGATTGCGCCGCCGGAAGAAACATCCCCTGGGCGAGGCCGATGCCCAGGCGGCACCCGACGACGACGGGCGCCGCGTAGCCGGACCTGATGCTGGAGGCCAGCGCCGCGGACAGGGGGAACCAGAGGAGGAAGCACAGCCCCAGGGTGGCCTTGCCGCCGCAACGTTTGGCCATGTAGCCGCCCGGAACCTTTTTCGTGTCGGACGTCGTGTCGAGTTTTCGAGGCATGCACGTTTCATGCACGTGTGCACGCGCATGGGGAACAGGGGGGGGGGGGGGGGGGGAGCGTACCCCAATGTTTCCCATGCCTTAACGATTAAGCCCTTGGGCCCCCGTCCCCCAAAAGAACAAACCTGGGGGAGGGGGGGGGGGGGGACTGTTTGGGGGAGGGGCTTTTTAATTTAACGGGGTTTAAACGAAGGGAACCATTTGGGGGGGGAAAAACTGGGAAAGAATGGTGGGGCTTGGGCCACCCCAAATGTTCCCTTTTGCGCCCCTTCCCCCAAGGTGGACAAATTTCCCAAAACAAAAACAAACCTTGAGCCCTGAACTTCAATTTTGTTCAAAGGAAATGCGTGAAAAAAGTCCACCCTATTCTGCTCACCATTGTCCGGGGGGGGGGGGGGTTTCCCAACGTGAAATAAAAAGGGGTATCAACGGGGG